CGGAGCGTCTCCTGTGGACGCCGCAGAGGACGCTGGCTTGTCGGCGTGCGCAGAAGGACGAGTTGGCGGCCGTGCGGGACGAGTTGCATCGAACGAAAGAACAGTTGTATCACGTCTCACAGGCATACGACAGGCTTCGCGCCGAGTTTGATCAGTTCCACCACCATCCTCCGCCGATGCCACAGCCCATCCATCACCACCAAGAGAGCATGCTCGATTCCCAAATCCAATGGGATAGGGAGCAGGCACGTCGCATTCACGACACGTTGTCGTGCACGATCGCGGAATTACACAACGAGCTCCATGCGAAAGAGGTATGTTGACGCCGCAGGAGATAGAGTGGTCTTGATTGTGTGGCCAGGTCGAAATAGAATCCCTGCGAGCGAGTGTGCAAAGAGGTACGACGAGGTGATAGGAACGGTCGTCCAGTCAACTCAATCGCTGGAATGAGTACAGAGAAAGCCAAGCAAAGGGAAATAGAGGAAATGACGGCGTCGCTCGAAGCGCAAAATTGCCAAGACAAGGACCAGTTGTCGAAAGTTACGCAGGGTTTGCGAGACATGACGTTGAGCCATGCGAACGAGATGGAGAAGCTGCATGTACTGCCGCACCTCCGTTCCTGCCACATGGATCTGACCCAACATGGAGGGCAGGCGGCACAAGACACCATCAACGAAGAACGGGCGGTCAAGGACGCTTTACAACATCGGTCGCACAACGAGCTTCCACGACTTGGTAATGAGCTTGCTTGGCGTCGCGCATCTGCACACCGCGAAGCGAGTCAGGTGGATACTTCTCCCGTCGAGTAGTGCCATCCAGTTGAAACTCACATCCTTCACGAGCGCTTCGTGCTGCGTCTCGAGCTCTGCATCGGGGTAGAAAATGGTTAATGCGCTGCGGCATTCGCTGCACCTGGCAAAGCCGAGCTGCACCCCACCGACAACTCAGCCGCACGGCATCGTCAAGCGCCGCGTGCACCTGTCCCCGCGTAAACATGTACATAGCTCGACGAGTCGACACAACATGAACGTGTTTGGCGCACCCACCGACGCGGTACGGCCGTTGCGCGATCTGTAGACTTGAGTAAGAAAATCGATAAAATTGCAATAATCAAGTCGT